GTGAAAATGTGGAATAGACTCCCTCAAGAGTTGGTTCTGGCCAGCTCAGTGGATTGATTTATAAAAAGGCCTGGATTCTTTCCTAGATACACAGAATATAACTGGATACTAACATTTATAGGTAAAGTTGATCCAGGGAATATCCGATTGCCTCTCGGGGGATCAGGAAGGAGTTTTTTCCCCTGCAGGAGCAAATTGGATCATGCTTTGCTGGGTTTTTTATTTGCCTTCCTCTGGATCAACTGTGGGTATAGGATTATAACTTTTTTTAACTTTTATTTTTTTATGGTTGAACTGGATGGACTTTTGTCTTTTTTCAGTCAGACTAACTATGTAACTAACTATATATATATAGATAGATCGATAGATATAGGTATGTTTTTTTCTGTCCCAAATATTCTGCTGGAGAAGCTAGCAGAGGCTCACTGGACTAGTTCAATGTGTCTGCACCGCAGCACTAGCTATAGTCACCCCTTTAGCACGGAAACTGCCTCTCAGTGACATGGAACCCCATCACACCAGAGGCATTTTGCCTTTACAGGCGGGTCCTTCCCAGGGTGCTGGCATTTTATCAAACCTCTCCTAAAGCATAAATGAAAACACTGCTGTAAACCACATTGTTATGTTTGATTAAAGATTTACTACCATTTATTGAACATTTCCACCATGAGCTTTCTTTTGGGAAACAGTTAAATCGGTGGGTTTAGTTCCACTTCAAAGAAAGATAAAGATGTTCTTAAATTGTAACTGTTGTGTTTAATTGTGCAATTACTTACGCTGTCATTGCGTCTGACATATTCAATCTGTCGAACGACAGCAATGAAATGACAAAAGTCTGTGCTACACCTGCAATGCCCAGCAGAGGGCAGCACTCCAACTTCAAGGCATTCATACAGGACACAATATTTAAGTAAGTTGTGGTTCTCGTGGCCAAAAGGTTCTCTGATAAAAGTCCAGCATTGCCTTCTTGGGACAAAAGGAATTTTTATATCCCTTCCGTCTCAAATCCACAAAAAACCTTCATGTCAACTGTGCATCCAGAACTGGTTTGTGGTACAGAGAAGGCCTAAGATAACAGAGCCAATGATTCTAAATGGCATATTTCTATTTCAGGCTTATTGGCCATCAACAGGGCAAAGTGTGGAGGTCATGGCTTCTGTGGAGCAGAGCCTAGGGGCCACAAAGGACAAAAGCACCCTTCCTTGAATTCTTTCATGGCCAGAGGTCATTAAGGGAGGACTCCAGAATTAAAAAATAAATAAAAATCTAGAGACCCGCTGCATTCAAGGCATAGTTCACCTTTGTGACCATTTTTAAATGCACACCCATATTTAAGGTGTAAAATAAAACATGGTCACATTTCCCAAACCTCCCACTGTTAAACCACATTGTGGGGTGTTTCTCCCGGCATCCTTCTGTTTTCATTAAATTGGGTGTGGCTGTGCATGGTTCCTGCCCTCACAGCCATATCCTCCAATCACAGGGATCTGTAAATGGGAAGACTACAAATCCCATCTTCCATTGCGGCAGAGAGACTCACAGATCAATGGAGCACAAATGTGGTAACGCCACCACCTTTGCATTCAAATTTTACTTCCTCCAGTCCCATAATGGTAGGTCTACACTTTGGTACAGAGCTGTCCTGCGAGAAGAGTTTGCAGGAGCCTGTGCATTACACCCTCAAATGCACTGATCACAATTGCCATGCTCTGCTGGCTCCAATGAAAAAAAAAAAATAATAAATGCACTTTTTTCACTAATGTAGGTACATTTATAAAAAATTTTGCCAAAGGTGAACTACGTCTTTAAACATGAAAAATAAACAGCTTTTGTGGCAACACACCTTCAGTCTGCAACTGCCCCTCGCAGTAATATATTTTCACCAATAGAGGTCCTCGGCCCTCTAAGCTGAATGACAGCCAGTGTCATTCAACCCTCTTCACTCATGGCAGGCTTTCTCAGCCTTTCTACTTCAAAGGAACCCTTAAGATAGTTTTTAGTCCTTGGGGAACTCCTACAAATACCACTTCATCAGAGGTCAGTGGGAAAAATGCTTTATATATTGGTGGCTAGTGAGAAGAATCCAACCCTTACAATGTTGGTCGGAAAGCCACTCTTACAGGTAGATAAAAAGATCATTGGTGCCATGCCACTGGATCTGTCAAGTGGCATTTGCCCAAGAACTATGGAGGGACCATTAAATGGGAGGTCAATCAGCCACAGCCCGAGGAACCCCTGGGCACCTATGGAGGAACCCTAGGGTTCCAAGAAACTCTGGTTGAGAATGACTGCTCTAGGGGATGGATATTTTGACAAACCTAGAATGTAGATGCTCAAACCAAGTTTAGCAGTATCAAAATTTTTCAGGTAACATGCTATAACTCTATAACTGGTTTGTCACTTTAGCAGTGGGGTCTGGAAACTAGGAACATGCACAGTTGCACACTTTTAGGTCCATACAGCACTGTTGTGTACGGGTTTTCACAGCATGGGGCTTAAGCACTTAGCCCTGGTTCCGATATGTATGTTCTGCCGCGTTTTGTACGGGCACGAGAGCCAATTCCTTTGAATGGACTCCCATGCCCCGGACACGCAGGGAAGAAGTCTGTGCTCTTCTTTGGAAACAGCAGCTTGCACAGGAACCTCTGTTCCCAGTGCGGTTGTGATTTCCAGTGCGGGTGGCGTACCATTAGAATTAAAGGGACCCGTCCGCGGGTCTGCATTCTTTTGTGTGGGTGGTGTGGCTGCACAAATTTTTGTGCAGATCCGCAGCGGCACCACCTGCACATATGTGAACCTAGCCTTAAAGTGCATACTCTTTTTAGTATGGAGTGGGGAAGGAGTGGAATCTCTGTCTGGTTTCTATTACTGTATTGTGGAAGTGGAAAAACCCAGATACTCCTGCACTTGGGGATGGACTCTATGTCATAAGGACCACACAACGAAAACCTTGGAATATGCATGCCTTGCCGTCCTCAAAGAACCGGGGAGTCCAAAAGTACTAATAGAGAAAAACAAAACAGAGATCGCACCGGCCTTGTGCATTACCTTTAAAAGTATGTTTATTAAATATTAAAAAATGTATTCTACTCACAATAGTAAATAAATATAAGGCACATCATGAAGGGACAGCTCTGTCCAATTCGCACTGTGTTTCTGTCTTATAAAGAGAATGATGGACATCTAAAATGCTGACACTTTTCGAGGACTAGCCTCTGCCTCAGAGCCTCTCAGGCTAGGAAGAAGCTAGTCCTCGAAATGCGTCAGCCTTTGTTTTTAGCTTAGATACTCTTTACATTTCCAGATATTTGATCCCTTGAACATCACAAATTAGCCTGTTAGAAACTTGGAGGCCAGGCCTCCAATCTGAGAAAGGAAACCAGTGTGCTATAGAATCATCCCATGCAATTCCAGCAGAAAGCATAATGATAAACCTGCTGAATCTTACAGTGGCTCCCTAAAATCTAGAATGAGTGGTCTTTCAGTTCTCAATTTAATATTTTTCTCTGGCTGCCTGAAGTTGCCCTTTAACAATTTTGGCACGGGAAGCCATCCTGATTTAATAAGCAACTGAGTGTCCAACCCACTGTTAATAATTTGGGACACTGCGTGTCCCCGGTCTAATTAGGATAAATTCAATGTTGCACAAGAACAAAGCAGCCTAATTTGCTTATGCAAATGAGACTAATAAGCTGAGGGGTTGAGAGTGTTTTAGGTGAGCGGTGCGCAGGCAGGAGGAACGCTGGGAAAGAAGTGCCGGAGACGGGAGTTAGCTGTAAGGCGGTCACCTTCATGGGGATCTGTTTCAGAATCACGCAGGTATCATCCCATGCATGTGTTATTAACACAGGGCTCAGGCCTGGTAATCTCCAGTCTTCGACCTGCAGCCGCAGAGATAATCCTCTGTTACAAACCTGATACTCGTGTGAGAAATCCTTGTCCCTCAACCTGCCCACAGCTGCTGTCTGCTAAGTGTCTTAAGGCCAAACTCCTGGCAAACAGCTAAATACACAGATCTGATACATATATGAGAGCCATTTTACCTGTCAAAAAATTGTACTTATTTCTACCCAGTCCTATGACTTACGCAGCTCTTCCACATAGCACAGTATGTCTGATGTTTCTCTGCTGCAGTTAAGTAACAGCTAAAGGTCTTGTCCCTTTCCCCAGACTGTGATCGAGAATGGGCAAGCAGCAGGTTGATTAGTTCATCCCTCTGTCACTCTGCTCTCTCCCCCTATCAGCATACTCCTTGCACTGCAGCACAACATTGGCCCTGTATTCTGCTTCTCCCTCACCCAGCCTGAGCTCTGTTGTACAGAGACTGCACAGGGCTGATACCAGGTTAAAAAACACATTTACTGGTGTATGAATGCTTACAGAGTTGCATTAACCTTTTTGCTGCCAGAGTCGTTTTTGCATTTTAAAAAATCATTTAGGCCTGAGGATTACACAAATCTGCCAAAACATTATATATTTTCTGAAAGCAGACACCCTAGAGCAGGGGTAGGCAACCTCCGGCTCTCCAGCTGTTGCAGGACTACAAGTTCCATCATGCCTCTGCAAGTCATAGCTGTAACTGTCAGTTTTTTAATGTTGCAATGCCTCATGGGAAATGTAGTTCCACAACAGCTAGAGAGCCGCAGGTTGCCTACCCCTGACCTAGAGAATAAAATAGTGGTAGTTCTAATTTTTTATGTCATACGGTACTACTGCAAAGGTCTGGGAAATGCAAAATTTCAGTTAAAAAAACACTAAAGTGAATTTTAGGGCAAAAAAAATGCAACAATTTACCACAATTTTTGGCATAAAATAATGTAAATAGATACCCAACACGGCAAACCTTAAATTTGTGTGCGCCTATGAAATGGCAACAAACTTCAGTACCCTATGTTTTCTATAGGCGAAGCTGCAAAAGCCCCTATAGGTGATCAGTTTAGTATTACAGTGGAGGTCTTGTGCTATAATTATTGCTCTCACTCCGGGGTGTGCGACAATATGCAACATGTATCGCAATCTACGTTTTCATGAGTACAGGCCCTGACGTGTACATTTACATTCATACGTGTGCATATGTAGGGGTGGGCAGGGGTGGACTGACAACTCATGGTGCCCCCGAGCAATAGGGGATCATGGGGCCCCTGTGTCCTTGCCCAAACTCAAAAAAGCCTATGAAAAAGGTACCAGGGGAATCTCATGGGGCCCCCTACTGACCCCGGGCCCTCGGGCAGTGCTCGAGTTTCCAAATGGTCAGTCCGCCCCTGGAGGTGGGGGGTCCTCAATTTTTTTGGAGGGGGGGATGTTATGTGCTTGGGTGTAACTTTGATTTTTTGCAATAAAATTATTTTTTTACATAATTTTTTTTTAATCACATAGGGGACACATTATTTGTATAAATGTTTTTTTTTTTTTTACCTTTGGGGCATGGAATGTTTGCAAGAATTTACCAGGTCTCACTAAGGCTAAAAACCCCTTCCAGGGGGCTATCTGTTATTTCCCAGATCAAGAAGTGTTATCACTTTATTTATTATTGATCCTCAATTTTTTTTAGGGGGGGGGGGTGTTATCTGCTTAGGTGTAACTTTGATTTTTTGCAATAAAATTATTTTTTTACGTACCTTTTTTTTAATCACAAAGGGGACACAACGTTATTTGTATAACGTTTTTTTTTTAACCTTTTGGGGCATGGAATGTTTTTCAAGAATTTACCAGGTCTCACTAAGGTTACAAACCCCTGCCAGGGGGCTATCGGTCACTTCCCAGATCAAGCAGTTTTATTGCTTATGATTATTAATAGCCAGTTTAAGTGCATTTAGAAACACATTCAGCATTTTTGGAAATAATCTGCAGAGTTGGACTCTGTAAATAAGATCCTTGTTTTCGCCTTTTCAGTTGTCCTCCTAGCAGAATTCTATGGGGAATTTCCCAGCAATTGGCTGTAGTGTGAAGCGCTGACAGCAGAACTATGCTATCTCCCACACCTTAGACCTGAGGATCTCTGGATTGGAGGAACATAGGGAAGAGTATTGAATATAGTTATAGCCATCTTAGCCATATTTAAAACCTGGAGTTCCTTTTTAAAGTATATTTTTCGATAAGTTTACAAATCTGCTTAAATACATTTCTGACATTTCCTAATGTACAGCATCAGTATGGTGAAAAAATAGTAAATCTCTACTTATACTGTATCCTTAAAAAGATGGCCTTGAGCTATTAGTCAGGGACTTTTCCTAGGCTAAGACAACCTCATCAATCTGCTGCAAGCAGGAGGAGGCATTTCCTCAGTCTCATCTTCCTCAGGGATCAGACTGCACACTGTAACTTTATAGCAAGCCAAAAGGTGAGAGGCTGCAGCAGGGACTGATATCATAGTTGCAAGCATTTCCAAAACATTTTTAGGGACACTTTTTTTCTGTATGTCCAGAAAGCCAGTGTGGGCAGGGCAATATTTTAATTAGGGGTTGGGCATTCATTTGTAGGTGTGGTTTAACAAGAGGGGAGAAAATGCAGTGGATGAAGAATGGGCGTAGTTTAAATTACAGTAAATATTAGGCGTGGTTTAAAGAGGGTGTGGTTAAATAGTCTGAGATGACTGACATAGTGGAGGATGTTGTAATGTTATATAAAGAATGTAGGTAGGGCAGTGTACAGAGATCAGTAGTATGTAGGGCAGTGTACAGAGTCAGTAGTATGTAGGGCAGTGTACAGAGGTCAACAGTATATAAGGCAGTGTACAGAGATCAGTAGTGTGTAGGGCAGTGTACAGAGGTCAGTAGTGTGTAGGGCAGTGTACAGAGGTCAACAGTGTATAGGGCAGGTACAGAGATCAGTAGTGTGTAGGGCAGTGTACAGAGGTCAGTAGTGTGTAGGGCAGGGTACAGAGATCAGTAGTGTGTAGGGCAGTGTACAGAGGTCAGTAGTATGTAGGGCAGTGTACAGAGGTCAGTAGTATGTAGGGCAGTGTACAGAGGTCAGTAGTGTGTAGGGCAGTGTACAGAGGTCAGTAGTATGTAGGGCAGTGTACAGAGGTCAGTATTGTGTAGGGCAGTGTACAGAGGTCAGTAGTATGTAGGGCAGTGTACAGAGGTCAGTAGTATGTAGGGCAGTGTACAGAGGTCAGTAGTGTGTTAGGGCAGTGTACAGAGGTCAGTAGGATGTAGGGCAGTGTACAGAGGTCAGCAGTAGGATGTAGGGCAGTGTACAGAGGTCAGCAGTATGTAGGTCAGTGTACAGAGGTCAGTAGTGTGTAGGGCAGTGTACAGAGGTCAGTAGTGTGTAGGGCAGTGTACAGAGGTCAGTAGTATGTAGGGCAGTGTACAGAGGTCAGTAGTATGTAGAGCAGTGTACAGAGGTCAGTAGTATGTAGGGCAGTGTACAGAGGTCAGTAGGATGTAGGGCAGTGTACAGAGGTCAGCAGTATGGTAGGGCAGTGTACAGAGATCAGTAGTGGTCAGTGTACAGAGGTCAGTAGTGTGTAGGGCAGTGTACAGATCAGTAGTGTGTAGGGAGGTCAGAGTCAGTAGTGTGTAGGGCAGTGTACAGAGGTCAGTAGTATGTAGGGCAGTGTACAGAGGTCAGTAGTGTGTAGGGCAGTGTACAGAGGTCAGTAGTATGTAGGGCAGTGTACAGAGGTCAGTAGTATGTAGGCAGTGTACAGGGTCAGTAGTATGTAGGGCAGTGTACAGAGGTCATCAGCAGTATGCAGGGCAGTGTACAGAGGTTGGTAGTTGGTAGGGCAGTGTACAGAGGTCCTGAGGTACAGAGGTCAGTATTGTGTAGGGCAGTGTACAAGGTCAGACAGTGTACAGAGGTCAGTCATGTAGGGCAGTGTACAGAGGTCAGTAGGTGTAGGGGTATCAGCAGTCAGCAGTTGGTAGGGCAGTGTACAGAGGTCAGTAATGTAGGGGTTCAGAGCAGTAGTGTGTAGGGCAGTGTACAGATAGGATGTAGGGCAACAGAGGTCAGTAATAGGTAGGGCAGTGTACAGAGGTCAGTAGTATGTAGGGCTGGACAGAGGTCACAGTCTAGGGGTCACATAAGTAGGGTAGTGTACAGAGGTCAGCAGTATGCAGGGTAGTGTACAGTTGGTAGTTGGTAGGGCAGCTTCCTGAGGTCTGTAGTATGGGGCATTGACAGAGGACAGGGGTCATCAAGATAGTGGTTCGGGTATCAGCAGGGCAGAGGACAGTGGGGTCAGTAAAGGGGTTCAGAAGCATGTAGGGCACAATACAAAAGGTTAGTGAATGGCACAGTATAGGGTGCTGGAAGGGCACAGTCTATGGGACATAAGTGGTTTCCTCCACATGCAGAGCAACACAGGGAACTTGCTGTCCCATATCTAGCTATCCTGATGTGCTGATCTTTTACACCCACCTTAGTGAATGGACCATCTGATCAGGTCCGCCAGAAAAATTGATAGGCAGACCCGATTGGACCCGCTATGTGAAAGGGACCTTAGTGATGGCACCAGCAAGCAGTGACTGAAAGAAACTTGGTTTAATGCCTGGTTCACAATAGTGCGGCCATGCGGTCCGCATTTTCTTGGGCACAGCAGCCCATTCATGTGCATGTCCCGCACATAAAAGGTACATGCACCTTTCAAAAAACGTGTATGCAAGGAAATCGCATGGTCTTTTTGAGCATGCATTTTCCCTGCGGATCCCGCACCCATAATTGCACTGCAGGCTGAGATGCATGGGAGTGCCATTCAGAAGGTGCCACCTCGTCTGCAGGTGGTTGTGGGTGCGGGAACTAATGCAATTCCTGCACCCGCAACCAGAACGCACAGTGCGGGTTAGTGTTAACCTAGCCTAAGCCAGCACTTCCCAATTACTCACAGGACAGAGCTGACGAAGATGACGTTGCCTCTTTTCATGCAGCAAACAGCGCATTTTTACTTCTATCTAAACTTTTAGATAGAAGTAAAAAAGTTAGCTGACAAAGATGGCATCTCCTTTTTTCATGGAGCACTGTCCCGATTGTAAGAAATTGGGCAATGCAGTTTTAAACCCAATTTCTCACTGTCAGAACACTGTACTACATGAAGAAAAGGAGATCCCGACATTTGCACACTTTTTATCCAGATCCAGCGCCAGCGCCAGCCACAGATCAGTTCTTAGTGTTGCTCTGTCACACTGCAACCTGAGGCTCAGAGTCACCTCCAGCAGAAGAAGGTGGTCCAAGCGAGATCATATCCGAGGTTGGCTGCACCCTCTCTCTCCCACTCAGACAACTGCAGGACAAAGCTTTTCACGCTCTGCTCCTGAAAGCACCTGTACAGCTGTTAGGGGAGGAGGTGGTGGAGGGATCTGTCCCCGCCATGTCCGTCATCATGTGCTGCCCAGCAGCACACTTGTTAAACAAGCCCCAAAGTGACACATGTGGGCACCCATGGCACAAAGCTCGACAGTTGTGGTGCCGGCCACGGGCAATCATGAGAATGCTACTGTAGCACTGTCTGCCTGTTCGTGAGCAGCTTTGAATTTTGGGACACAGCTCGGGACAAGGTCATGTCGGGACAGCACTTTAAAATCCATGACTATCCCAGACAATTCATGACTGTTCGCAATTATGTGATATGTGTCAGACATTTGTGGACACAGCGAAGAACTACATAGGCACCAGGATTTACATGATTACATAATCTCTGAGCCAGCATCTGAGTCTATGAAGTGGATGTTGACCCTGTATAATGCCTGATCAAAGATGACATCATCCTCCAGGAGAGAAAAGCAGATGAAGGGGGAGCACAGTGATCTCTGTGAGAGTGAATAAATACCTGGAAATGTTACACTGACACTTCATAAGAGAATTTTCACTTTGATGGGGTGTTGAGCACATCAGAGATCACGTTTTTGGTGAAAATGTTTTTGAAGGGAAGATTTGGACTTTATTTATGATATGAACTGATTTTTGTCACTTTATGCACTCTTTTGGTGAAAGTGTTATTTTTATTGTAATATATGTATTCATTTATATACAATTTATTTATGTATAATTTTTGGGGGGATTGTATTGTATCTTATTAGTGAGCACTGCGTATGCTGTTTTTGCACTATTTTTTAGATTTCAAAATAAATCCCTTAGTGAAAAAATATTTAAATTAATGAAGTGTTACACTGACACATTACCGCCCCACTCCCCTAACAAAATCGAGCTGGGATGAGCGCTTCTCAGCCATTCATGGAAAGCTTTGTATATTCTGAATTAATACAAGACTTCCTCTGATTGGCTGAAAGTGAGAGGCAGGTGAATGACGTTACAA